TGAAAAACAAAATGAAAACAAACAAAAATGTTGAGGAGACAAAAGCCATCTAATACTTTTTAAGACTTTGTAAAGCTTATGTTGTGGATCATGATCCTAACTTATAGTCTACTCATTTTAAGTATTCTGAATGCTTGCAAGCATTCATATATGCTTCCTCATACACACATGTATGTATGTGCTCCCATGCAGAAGTACCATATATAATTGACACACAAGCACACAGAAGTAGAAAGAGAATATCCCGTTCTTAGTGCCGCGGTAAAAGAATTTGACGTTGATAAATTAGGAATACACAAATATTTTTTTCCACAGCCAATAAGGTGGTACACATCTATTGTCTTAGCACTTGGGAGGGACAAGCAGACCGGTCACATCTACATGTCTGTTTCACACAGCTACATAACCGAAAGGACAAACTCAGCTGTCTTCCTCAGTTAACAGCATCTTGTGTTTAAGAGACAATGCTTCCTCAAGATCCAGCTGTACCACTCCTAAGCATATATCCAAAAGATGCTCAAGTATACAAGGACATCTGCTCAGCCATGTTTGTAGCAGCTTTGTTTGTAAAAGCCTGAACCTGGAAACAATCCAGATGTCCCTCAACTTGAGGAATGGATACAGAAATTGTGGTACATCTACACAATGGAATACTACTTAGCAATCAATCCCTCCTCTCCACGCATGGTACTTGGTTGGAGTATGAGTCTCTGGGAAGACCCCTGTATTCAAATTTCTGGTTCTGTTGCTCTCCTTGTGGGGTTCCTGTCCTCTCCAGATCTTACTAGTTCCCACTTCTTTCATAATATTCTATGCACACTGCCCAACAGTTAGCCATAAGTCTCAGCATCTGCATTGATAGTCTGCAGGGCAGAGCCTTTCAGAGGCCCTCTGTGGCAGATTTCTAGCTTGTTTCCTGTTTTCTTCTTCTGATGTCCTTCCTCTTTGCCTTTCAGGATGGGGATTGAGCATTTTAGTTAAGGTCCTCTCTCTTGATTAGTTTCTTTAGATGTACAGATTTTAGAAGGTTTATCCTATATTATATCTCTTTATGAGTGAATATATACCATGTGTGTCTTTCTGCTTCTGGGACAGCTCACTCAGGATGATCCTTTCTAGGACCCACCATTTACCTGCAAATTTCATGATTTTCTTATTTTTCATTGCTGAGTAGATGTATCACAATTTCTGCATCCATTCTTCAGTTGAGGGGCATCTGGGCTGTTTCCAGCTTCTGGCTATTATAAATAAAGCTGCTACAAACATGGTTGAGCAAATGTCCTTGTTGTGTACTTGAGCTTCTTTTGGATATATCCCTAGGAGAGGTATTGCTGGATCTTGAGGAAGCATTATTCCTAGTTGTCTGAGAAAGCACCAGATTGATTTCCAGAGTGGTTTTACAAGTTTACATTCCCACCAGCAGTGGAGGAGGGTTCCCCTTTCTCCACAGCCTCTTCAGCATGTGTTGTCACTCGAGTTTTTCATCTTGGCCATTCTGATGGGTGTAAGGTGAAATATCAGGGTCATTTTGATTTGCATTTCCCTGATAGCTAATTATGTTGAGCATTTCTTTAAGTGTTTCTCTGCCATTCTATATTCCTCTACAGAGAATTCTCTGTTTAGCTCTGTTCACCATTTTTTTTAATTGGATTACTTGGTTTGCTGCTTTTCAGTTTCTTTAGTTCTTTATATATACTGGATATTAGCCCTCTGTCAGATAAAGGGTTGGTAAAGATTCTTTCCCAAACTGTAGGCATTTGTTTTGTTTTGATGACAGTGTCCTTTGGTTTACAGAAGCTTTTCAGTTTCATGAGGTCCCATTTATTGATTGTTGTTCTTAGAGCCTGTGCTGTTGGTGTTCTGTTCAGGAAGTTTTCTCCTGTACCAATGAGTTCTAGAGTCTTCTAACCGATTTAAAGTATCTGGTTTTATGTTGAGGTCTTTGATCCACTTGGACTTTAGTTTTGTGCAGGGTGATAAGTATGGATCTATTTTCATTTTTCTACATGTAGACATCCAGTTAGACCAGTACCATTTGTTGAAGATGCTATCTTTTTTACATTGTATGGTTTTGTTTGTCTTTTTATTTCATTTTTTTAAAACTTGATATTTTTGAGTGTGTGTTACTCTTGGCTTTTTCACCCTTTCTCTGAATCTATTTTTCAAGCACCCACTTCTCCCTCTCAGTGCTTTCAAATGATATGTTTTTCTGTCTTTATTGTCACCTCCCTTTAGATAGCTGCTAGAATTTATAGTTTTCCTCTTGTATCAGTTCTCTCTAAAGAGTTAACAACATTAGCTTTGTGCTTCCTTACAGGTTTGTTGTTTTATTCATAGGGAGAACCCAAAAGAGGTAACCCAAATTTCCTCAGCAATGTGTTTAAAAATCCCTGTTGTATATTGACACACACAGACGGAGAAGTGAGCAGTTAGAACATACGAAATACACAAGGGTCTGTTAAGCCTTAAAAGGCTGACATTGGACTGCCAATGCTCTAATTTTATATTGTCCCATTCAAAGAATTTTATAGTGATTAATCCATTTGTATAGCTCTTCTTTTAATGCTTCTTTTCCAGATAAATGTAGCTTAACTATGTACACTTGTATATTTTCTAATCCATTATATTATATAACCGAAATCTATCTCTCATATAAATTAGAAGTATGATGTTTTAAAATTCATGTTTAGTTAGTAATCTTTGTTGAAAGAGTACATATTCTTTCATAAGCTGTATTTATATAATATCTTTGTTTTTATATGTTTACAGAATAATCAGAGAAAAATATTATATTTCAAGAGTGGAAGCTGGATTTCTGAGTATTTATTAGGTCCATGACACAAAATAAGAGCTAGAATTATGTTTTAAATCATTGAATTTGTTTTCCCATCCCCCAGATATGCTTTTTGTATTGAGGGTTAATAGCTGTCAAGGCCTAATTTCATTTTTATAATCATTTGTATTATTTTTATATTGAAATTTCATTTTTGAAAGCAATTCTGTTGCTTACTGTGGGGGAAATAATAGCACATGGGTACTGTTCTGCCCTAAGAAGTTTTAGTGTTTTCCTCCTTGGGGAGCCCCTGGGGGCTTCAGAGGGGCTCAAGGGCCTGGTATAAGGAGGGAATGTGCAATGTTTACAACTTGCCTCCCTTGACTGACACATCATTTTCTAAAGGTAAGAAGGAAAGCTTCTTATTGCATATGAAATATTTAGAAGACATAACCTTTCATTTAAAATTGAAATGAAAGTGTACTATTACTGAAATACAGGTTGCATTAAGGAACATAGCCAAACAAAGAGACAGATGCCCGGTGTACATTGTGAGCACAGATCTAAGTTAAGGACTTCCTTTAACACACTTGAGAAAGCAGCACAAGAGCAAAGCAATCAGGGATATATGTGTAGTTTATAAAATCTATAAACCAATCTTTGTTTACTTGCCATTTAGGTATTACTACTATTTTTCTTATTGAGGATTAAAATAAAGCTTAGACTTGTTTAATTAAAAAATTAATAAAAATCGAAGACTAATTTGTGAACTAATTTGAATCTGTGGAAACTTGATTTTATGTTGTTTCTAGAAAAATAATATTCCTATGTTACGGTAGGTCTAAATGCGCTCACAAAAAAATGAGACATGAATCATTGCTTGCTTATGAAATATGTGACCTCAGGATCTGTGACTAGACTAGTCAAACTTACCTTATCAATTAAAGAATATTGAATCATTTCCTTAGCATTCTTTACAGAGCTACAAAGTATACATAAGAAAATGTATATTACATATCTTTTTTCTCGTACAAACTTATTAGTTAGCAGTTGCCTTCCTGACTTTTTCCCTCTTGCATAGGAATACCGTTCTTGTTTATGTCCCGTGTTTTGTGTTTTGTAATTAATTTTAAAAAATCTCTAAAATCTTCATCATTCTATGACCCATCAAATATGGCAAACACACGTACAATTGTTGTTGTGTTTTCTAATTAAAATTTTAATAAATACTTCTCTAGACTCTTCTTCATTCTACTATATGTCAAATATGTTAAACACACACACATACACACAGAAACAACATTGGTTCAAGCTTTCTAAAATATTTGGTGGAAACTTTTGTGTTTGTGTTTAGGGTCCTTGGAAAAAGTCTCTGAACCCAGTTATTTTCAGTTATTTCAGTGTCTTACATACTTGTTACATTGAGCCACGCCCCACAATTGTTAATTCTCTGAATGGGAAAGAAATTGAAGATGTTGATATATTTGAAATTTTAGTCTGTATGTCAATCAACATGTCCAAGAGTATTTTATATCATGATTCCTATCCAGTTGGATACCTGTCAACTGAAGACCAGTTTAAAAAATGCATGCATAGCTTCCATTTTCATGTGTATGTATTCACCTAATTTATATTGTGTTCTTGATATTCCAAAAAACATTTAAACTGTAGTGTGAGCAAGTATAAATTTGTAATGAGAATTACAATCTTTATCATGGCCCTTCCATACATACACACACACACACACACACACACACAAACACAATATTCCTTAGAAAATTAAGGAAATTCCCTCTGTTGGCCATATATGATTATGTTCAGGCTCGCTCTCTGAATTGTAATATAATATAACATGAACTATGATAAAAGTGTTTGAGTGGTTAGGGTAACTAGACTTAACTGCTTGACTATATTTTAACCTGATTTATTCAAAAACCGAAAAATGAGGAAGGGGCTATAGCTGGGATAAAAAGCGAATAAAATGTAATTAATGTAAAAAATAAAAATTTAATTAAAAACTGACAAATATTGCTCTTCAGTTTACTTGAACAGAATAATGGATCTTCTCACTCACTTTACTGACAGCCCCATCGATGACAGTAACTTCCAAAATGTGCCCACGGGCATTGGATTGTGTTGACTTGTATCTACAGGCTGTCGCTTCAGACTGTGTAAGCGAAACAAGAAATGCCAAGAACATGATCAGGTATGAATGCAGAAAACCCAGATGAAAAATATGACGGAAATCACCGTGTTTATACTACTGGGATTCACAGAAGATTCTGACATGAACATATTCTTATTTATATTATTTTTTGCAATATATGTTGTAACTCTGATTGGAAATCTGGGATTGGTCGTATTGGTCATTGAGGATTCTCGGCTCCATCACCCCATGTACTATTTTCTTACTGTTTTGTCATTCATTGTTGGATGCCTGCTTTTCTACAGTATTGACGCCCAAAATGTTGGTCAATTTTCTCTCTAAAAATAAATCTATTTCATTTGTCATTGTCGGTTGTGAAACACAGATGCTTCTCTTTGTTACATTTGGAACCACAGAATGCTTCCTTTTGGCAGCAATGGCTTATGACCGTTACTTGGCAATCTGCAGCCCACTTCTGTATGCAGTGAGGATGTCACCCAGAGTCTATGTGCCACTCATTGTTGCTTCATATACTGGTGGAATTTTACATGCTACTATACACACAGTGGCTACTTTTAGTCTTTCTTTCTGTGGATCCAATGAAATTAGGCATGTCTTCTGTGATATTCCTCCATTGCTTGCACTTTCTTGTTCTGACACCCACTTAAATCAACTTCTGCTCTTCTACTGTGCAGGCTCCATTGAGCTAGTCACCATCTTCATTGTCCTGGTCTCTTACGGTTTTATTCTGTTAGCCATTCTGAAGATTAATTCAGCTGAAGGGAGGAGGAAGGTATTTTCTACATGTGGAGCTCACCTAACAGGTGTGTCGCTTTTTATGGGACAATTCTCTTCATGTATGTGAGACCAAGTTCTAACTATACCCTTGAACATGACATGGTAGTGTCCACATTTTACACCATTGTGATTCCCATGCTGAATCCCATCATCTACAGTCTGAGAAATAAAGATGTAAAAGAGGCAATGAGAAAGTTACTCAAGAGAAAATTGCTTCATGAATAAAACACATTTCAAAAATTGAATTGAATAAACCTAAAACTCACATAAGCTTACATTTACATCATATATGAATATCACGTACCTTATATGCCTCATATTTTTCCATAAAAGCATTGATCTTAAATATAGCATGTAGGAATGTTAGCATATGCTTTACATATCTACATTTTGTTTAAACTGAAATACATCAATTAATTATGAATGTTCTTTGTGGGGCTCTGCTGGATAAGGTTGAAGTCTGATGTCTCTAGCCATTTATTTGTGCTCTGTCCATGAAGATGGACTCCCCTTTCTTAGAGAGGTTCTAAGTCTTCCCTGAGCTGGGTGACCCTAGGACTTGTAAGGAGTGTCACATAGCCCTCAGGGCAGGTTACAGGCCAGGATCCTTTCCTGATCAGAAAACTGTTCCAGCAAGCATCTAGGAATTCCTAGAAATGCCCCACCCTGGTAAGGAGATCTTAGTCTTACGCAGTGGCCTTCAACTGTATTTGGAGATTTTCTCCTCACTCTAGGATAACTACTGTATTTTCCTTCTTGTGATAGGACCATGCTACTGCATGGAAATTGTAAATCAGGAATCCCTGACCCTCCAACCACAGGGAATCAAATACATTTACCCTTGAAAGCCCTCTCACTGTCCAAAGTTTATAAAACCCTGATTTCAAATAAAGGTGCTGCTGACTGGCTGCCTGATACCATCAGCCTTTCACCATGACCTTCTGAGACTCTTCATTTATCCCCTGGCTCTACCTGTCCCTGAGAGAAACAAAAAGCCCCCACACCCTGTAAGCAGAACAATCCACCCGCCCCTCCCAGCCCAGTAGAGAACACAGTGCATATGATCTTATAGATAGACTTCAGATAACTCCAGCTGGACATGTCCATGCTGGACATGTCAGAAATTATTTATATTAGGGATGTTTAGCTTATAATTTCTCATAGAGAGTTTGTTTTGGAAATATAGTATGAATTTAATTACTCTTTTTTGTCTTGTGAAATTTTGCTGCAACTGCACAATGATTTCTTACATACACACATTGAACTCATCATTTAAGCATTATTTCGGGCTATTGACTTTAAATCAGAGGTTTGTTTCTATTGAAGTCTTTCCTTTCAACACTTTAATCATAGAGATGGAATAGAAACTTCAAAACCTAAGCTGACACATTTAGTGATGTTACTGGGAAGATTTCTACATATTAGCTATGCAAATGAAAGTATAGACTAAAGGAATAACCTTAAATTGGCTTCAATAGGTGCCATTTGCTTATCTATACAGGTTGCCTGAAGAATTGAAATAATAATTGCTTTTATGCTAAAAGTCATTGCTCAGGTCCCAAACCAATCTTCTACTACATGTCTAAGAATTATTTTGCATTTGTTACAGCACAATCATGACCAAGGAAAGTCTCATAATATTGAAAAAACATTCACTTAAACTCAAGAATGCATCTGTCGTTTTCATTTTGCTGCATTTATGACAGAATTATGACAGAATTATGCAATTATGATAGAATTAATTTACATAAGGAAGTATTAAGGCTGGAATCTGTTTTTATTTCATTGAGATGAAGCCTATTCTCAATGAGGTTATTTTATTGTGTTCAGACTGGAAAACACTATATAACAAAATATAGTTTTGACCCTGTAGGAAAAGATCACATGCCTCCATCAGCAAACCTGTTCTGATAAAGGTAAATAGTAGCATGCAAAATCAAGATTAAAAACAAAATTCAGTAACAATGTTATATTTTAATGAGAAATTAAGTCAATAAAATTATCACTAATATTTTTAACATGAGTAGGACCACCAAGCTGATTATAATGGCATACTATTGTATAAAAATGGTATTATTTTAATAGTGATAAACAGACATTGGTGGGTCTCTAGACTCAGACAGTGATATACTCTTGAATGAAAGAAAAAAGCTATCTCCATAACTAATGCAATAACCTTCAATAAGGCATTTAATCACTTGATGTTCCAGCTTCCCTAGTTATTACTGTCAGGCTCCAAGTACATTAATTGTTGTCTGCGGCTATGACAAATATACTGGTCATAGAGTAACTCGATCAACATGCTGACAAAATGTAGAGAATTTGATGTAGTAATAAATGTCATGGAATAAAAGTTAAGTAGAAGAATGAGACAGGAAAATAGAATTTTAAATAGGGTATTGAAAAAGAACCATATAAAAACAAGCAAACAAAAATACATGCCAAAAAATGCACCTGTCTTCTACTGCTTCACATGTCTAACCTGTTTGCCCTTCTGAATGAGGATTAAGCCTCTTCCTTAGGGTCCTCTTTATTGTTTAGCTTCTTAGGACTATAGAATTTAGTATGCTTATCTTATATATCTAATATCCACTTGAAAGTGAATATATACCATGTGTGTCTTTCTGCTTCTGGGTTACCTCACTCAGGATGATCTTTTCTAGTTCTATCCATTTGCCTGGAAATTTCATAATTTCCTTGTTTTTAATGGTTAAGTAACATTCCACTGTGTAATGTACCAAAATGTCTGTATCCATTCCTTGGTTGAAGGACATCTAGGTTGTTTGCAGATTCTGGCTATTATGAATAAAGCTGCTATGAACATAGTTAAGCAAATACCTTTGTTGTATGCTTGAGCATCTTTTGGATACATGCCCAAAAGTAGTATAGTTGGGTCTATACAACTATTCCTAGCACTATTCCTCAGTTTTCTGAGAAAGCAACAGATTGATTTCTAAAATGGTTGTACAAGTTTACATTCCCATCAGCAGTGAAGGAGAATTTCTCTTTCTCCACATCCTCTCCAGCATGTGTTGTCACTTGAGTTTTTGATCTTAGCCATTCTGATGGGTGTAAGGTAGAATCTCAGGGTTGTTTTGATTTGCATTGCCCTGATGACTAAGAAAGATGAACATTTCTTTAAGTGTTTCTCTGACATTCAATATTCTTCTGTTGAGAATTCTCTGCTTAGCTCTGTACTCCATTTTTTAATTGGATTACTTGATTTGCTGGTGTTTAACTTCTTCAGTTCTTAATGTATTCTGGATATTAGCCCTCATCAGATGTAGGGTTAGTGAAGATGTTTCCCAGTCTGTAAACAGGGAACAGGACAGGAGCCTTCCACAGGGAGCCTCTGAAAGACTCTGCCCAGCCCGGTATTGAAGCAGATGCTGAGACTCATAACCAAACTTTGGGCAGAGTACAGGGAATCTTATGGAAGAAGGGGGAGCTAGAAAGACCTGGAGGGACAGGAGCGTCACAAGGAGACAGAGTTGAAAAATCTGTGCCCAGGGGTTCTTGCAGAGGTTGATGAATCAATCAAGGACCTTAATGGAGAGGACCTAGCCCCCCTGCTCAGATGTAGCCCATGTAAGTTTGTTAGTAAGGGGAGCAGGGGCTGTCTCTGACATAAACTCAGTGGCAGGCTCTTTGATCACCTCCCACTCTCTAGGTGGCCTAAGTAGACCACAGAGAAAGAGGATTCAGACAGTCCTGATGAGCTCTGAGAGAATAGGGTCAGATAGTAGAGGAGGAGTGCCTCCCCTATCAGTTGACTAGTAGAGGGACATGGGAGGGGAAGAGGGATAAAAGGTGGGCCTTGGTGGAGCTGAGGGAGGGGGCTACAGGCAGGATACAAAGTGAATAAATTATAATAAATAATAATAATAAGTAAATAAATTATAGCTGATTTCAAGAAGAAAAAAAAATCAGAACTAAAGAAAAAAAGAGAAATATCCATAACAATACAAGGACAGTATTCATGGAAAAAAAGGGATGAGTTAGCATTTGAAAGGACTAGAGTGGGGCAAGTGTTCTTGTTGTGTGGTGGAGCAACTTTTGGGTATATACCAGAAAAAGGTATACCTGGGTCTTGAGGTAAAGTTATTCCCAATTTTCTGAGAAAGCACCACAGTGATTTTCAAAGTGGTTGTACAAGTTTACATTTCCACCAGCAATGGAAGAGGGTTCACCTTTCTCCGCACCCTAGCCAGCCGGGATGTGCTGTCACTTGAGGGGTTTTTTGTTTTGTTTTTTTCTAATTTAATTTTATTTATACATTTATTCACCTTGTATCCCTGCTGAAGCCCCCTCCCTCATCTCCTCCCACTCCCATCCACCCTCTCTTTCTTCCCCTCTACCTATTGCCTAGTCCCCTGATAGGGAAGGACCTCCTCCCTTTTATCTGAATCTAGCTTATCAGGTCTCATCAAGGCTGGCTGTTTCATCTTCCTCTGTGGCCTGGCAAGGCTGCACCTCCCAGAGGGAGGTGATCAAAGGGCTGGCCATTGAGTTTTTTCAGTTTTTGTTTGTTTGTTTGTTTTTGTTTTTTTAAGATTATTTATTTTATTTTATTTTTTATATTAATTACAGTTTATTCACTTTGTATCCCAGCTGTAGCCCCCTCATTCACTCACTCCCAATCCCACCTTCCCTCCCTCATTTCCTCCCAAGCCCTTCTCCAAGTCCACTGATTTTGATCTTAGTGGATGTGTTTAAAGTGGAATCTCAGAATCCTTTTGATTTGCATTTTCCTGATGACAAAGGAAGTTGAACACTTCTTTAAATGCTTCTCAGCCATTCCTATTACTCTGTTGAGAACTCTCTGTTTAGTTCTGTGTCCCATTTTTTTAATTGGGTTATTTTGTTTCTTGTTGTGTGATTTCTTGAGTTCTTTATATATTCTTGATATTAGCCCTTTGTCAGATATAGGGTTGGTTAAGATCTTTTCCCAGTCTGTAGGCTGTTGTTTTGGTCTGTTGACAGTGTCCTTTGCTTTACAGAGCTTTTCAGTTTCATGAGGTCTCATTTGTTGATTGTTGATCTTAGAGCCTGAGTTGTTTGTGTTCTGTTCAGGAAGTTGTCTCCTGTGCCAGTGAGTTTGAGCCTCTTCACCACTTTTTCTTTTAACTGATTTAGTGTGTCTAGTTTTATGTTGACGTCTTTGATCCACTTGGACTTGAACTTTATGCAGCATGATAAATATGGATGTATTGCATTTTTCTACA